CTGGATAGAAGAAACATTTATTGAAATAGCTCGCAAAAAAGTTTTCATTTGTGGAGACTTCAATATTGATTTGCTAAACCCAAATAAACATATAACCACTGAGGAATTTATAAACACAATGCACTGTATGAATCTATTCCCTAAAATTACTAGACCTACCAGGATTACATCACACTGTGCAACTCTCATAGACAACATTTTTACAAATGACATTGAAAATAAGACTGTAAGTGGACTCCTGATTAACGACATAAGTGACCATCTGCCAATTTTTACAATCTATGATAGGAATTACAAGATCAATAAAATGGACAGTAAAAAAGAGTACAGACGAGTAAGAACAGAAGAAAGAATGAATGCATTTAAAAAAGATTTATTGAAGGAAAACTGGGGTGAAGTATATCAGGAACAGGACGTTAATAGTGCTTATAATAAATTCCTTAGAATATTTACATTACTGTACAATACCAACTGTCCAATAAAGCAATATAGTAGGAAACAGAAATATATGGACTGTCCATGGATAACAAAAGGTCTGCAAAATGCATGTATAAAGAAAAATGCTCTATACAGAGAGTTCTTAAGAACGAGAACTAAAGATGCTGAAATCAGATACAAAAGATATAAAAATAGGTTAACTAATATACTTAGATTTAGTAAAATGGAATACTATAAGAACTGTTACGAGTTCAAAATTGGGGATGGAAACAAGAGAAAAAACCACAATAACAACACTGGTCCGGCCGGGTTGAGTCAAACGATGATTTTAATGATCACACGCGTGGGAGATGGACACTGTATGCAGACAGCCTCTGATCTCAAAATGGTGGAGCATTGCTCAAACTTTTATAGCGTCTGGTGCCTCCACCTTATCATAAAAAGCCTAAACATTCGCATGCTTTCTCTCACACGGCGCCTAAGCTACGACCTTGGCTCCCTGTTTATCTGCTCCTGCTGAGATGGGGCAGAAAACTCCAGCATGCTCTGTTCTCTTCTAATCAGACAAATAAGACAATAACTCTCTGCGAACAGTATTTCTTATAACTCAGCAGTATAATGCATCATAAAACAATGTCATTCATTCACAACAAGTCAGCAGTTTAATGTAATGCAAATCAGTTTAGCTAATGCAATAGTTATCAGCTTCTTCTAATTCAGGAGGAAAATGCAAACTAAACTACATAATAATTCACAATCTTTAATTCGGGGTATAACATGGCATAAAATAACACTACAATCCAACAGAAGCAATTAGATATAAATAGAAATAATAATAAAAGATTATGGGAAATCCTGAACAGTGTTATAAAATGTGGGACTGGACAAAAGAACTATCCCAAGTATTTCATTGTAATGACCATGAAGAATACAATATGGATGTTGTGGCAAATAGTCTCAATGAATTCTTTGTAACTGCTGGACCAAATTTAGCAAGAACAATCACTCATCCTGGGAAAGCACAGGAAAAACCCGATACACTGATTGACAGAAATCCATATTCTATGTTTCTCACAGCCGTTGATGAAAATGAAGTTCTTGAAATTGTCAAAAAATGTAAAAATCACAAATCTTTGGATTGTAATGATATTGATATGATAGTGGTTAAAAGAGTCATTGAGGCTATTATAAAACCATTTACATACATCTGTAATTTATCATTTCAAACTGGTCGATTTCCAGACAGAATGAAAATAGGAAAAGTTATACCTCTATACAAATCTGGAAACAAACACCATTTCACAAACTACAGGCCTGTCTCTTTACTACCTCAATTCTCAAAAGTTCTTGAAAAACTGTTTAAAACAGACTGGAAAAATTTATAGATAAACATAAACTACTCACTGAGAGTCAGTACGGATTCAGATCAAGCAGATCAACATCATCGGCACTATTAGATTCAATAGAATACATCACAAATTCCATAGACAAAAAGCAATATGTGGCTGGGTTATTCATAGACTTGACAAAGGCATTTGACTCTATAGATCATGATATATTAATAAGAAAACTGGAACGTTATGGTGTCAGAGGGGTAGTTTTAGATTGGGTCCGGAGTTATTTAAGTGACAGAAAGCAGTTTGTGAAAATAAATGGTGGTTGCTCCTTATGTATGGACATTGCTTGTGGTGTACCCCAAGGGTCAGTTTTGGGTCCAAAATTCTTCAACTTGTACATTAACGACATCTGTAAAGTGTCCAAAGTATTAAAAATGGTTCTCTTTGCTGACGATACAAACATTTTTTGCTCTGGTGATGATCTGCAGAATTTATTGGAGGATATGAAATAAGTAAAGTGAAGTTCTGGCTTGATAAAAACAAATTATCATTAAATTTGAATAAATCTAAACTTATGTTATTTGGAAATAGTAGTTTAAATACAAATGCAAAGATTCAAATAAATGGTGTTGATATTGAAAGAGTCAGTGAAAATAAATTTCTGGGGGTAATAATAGATGAAAAACTTAACTGGAGAGCTCACGTAAGATATATTCATTCCAAAGTATCACGAAGCATTGCAGTACTAAACAAGGCAAAACAGGTATTCGACAGAACATCACTTCATATTCTACTGTTCACTGGTTTCACCATACTTAAGCTATTGTGCAGAGGTCTGGGGCAATAACTATAAAACCACATTACATTCACTTTTTACTCTTCAAAAGAAAGCAATTCGAATCATCCACAATGCAGGTTATAGGAACATACAAACTCACTATTTTTGCAGTCTGAAATATTGAAAATTGACGATATAGTGAAATTCCAAACAGCACAAATTCTATTCAAAGCAAAAAATAAAGAACTGCCAGGTAATATTCAGAGTATGTTTTTTTTGAAAGAAGGAAGTTATAATTTAAGGGGTTTTTGTAACTTCAAAACAATGAAGGTACGTACTACAAGAAAAGGCTTTTGTGTTTCTGTTCATGGAGTGAAACTATGGAACAAACTGAATATGGAATTAAAGCAATGTCCAAACATAAAACTGTTCAAAAAGAGTTATAAAAGTATGATCTTCTCGATCTATAAAGAAAAGGAAAATATTTAAATTAAGTGAACGTCTCTATTTAAAAACAAACAAACAAAAAATTCATGATGTGATATTATAGTATATAGTATATCAGAAATCTGTTCACTATTTTTATTACAAATTATATCAGTAAGGAAGCTGACTAAATATTCACTGATAATTTATGGGACAGGGGTGGGATTAAATAAGTGTATACTTCTTCCCTTTCAACATGTAAATTAATCAGAATGGTTTTTTGTATGTAATTTGTATAGTATTTTTTTTTCTCTCTTATTTCTTTTCTAAATGTACTTGTATATTGTTCACATGTTGAAATAAATTACCAATCAATCAATCAATCAATCAATCAATCAATCAATCAATCCAGATCAAACCTTTGGACACAAAGAGGCTTAAACATCTTCAAAATGACTAAAAGCCTGAACTTACAACTCATACAATACAAAACTGTCCATGGAGCACACTACACAGAAGAAAGGATGTGAGGCACGCAGAGTCAAGCATATGCTCAGGCATTTCCACTGAGAACTACATGCATGCTATGTGGTCCCGTATGCCTGTGCAGAGGTTCTGGCAGAGGATACGTAAAGACCTTTCCACATGATTGTGTTTGCTGCAGCCCACACATGGAAGCAAATGCATCATATTCCTTCCTGCCCAATGCATTGGAAAAAAAAATATCCTCATGAGGTGGAATTTAAAAAATGGTTTGTGTATTACTCAATATAGAAATGTACTTCTAGATTAGCTTGGAGAAAACGTCTGCCTCCTCAAACAACAGAATTGGATGAATTTATTCATTCAACTTTCTTATTCTGCACAAAAACAAAGGTGTATACAAAATGTTTGAACATGCACACGGGCCTGTTTTATTCTTAGCACCATGCCTGTGTTAGTAATAATCATTCTGAACCAGGGTAGGCAACACGAGAACCTGGGACTGTTATGAAGGGACACACCAGAAAGCTAAATTCAGCTGGCTCAGTATTAATTCATCATACTAAATAATACTCATTTGATCTCTCACTCGCTGCTAGTAGGAGTAGATGTTAGGCAGTGAAAATGTGAAACAGGTATACACTGTTATTTCATTAATGTTCCTGAGAACATTGTGAACAAAATGTACAGATGTTTGCAAAATGTCATAGATTTACTGAAAGTGCTACTGCAGTTCTGCCTGTAGGTCAATTTCTTCATCTGCAGGTTTTCAGTTTGTTTTCTCAGTGAGACAAAGTTAGTTTGTTTGGGTTTGAACATCTGCATTACTGTAATCGTCACTCAGAGGGTGTAAGTATCTACATATGTTAAACTTCATAACTGACAATGTTTGCACACATGTAAGTCCAAATATGTCTCCTTATATGTGGAAATAAGAATAAAAATCCAGCTGAAATCATTCCTGTCTCGCTCTCTCTTACTACAGTCTCTATATCTAAAAGCACGAGTTCACACTGCAATAGTTTTACACCCTTAATATGTACACACTGTCTACAGAGAAAATAAAGTCAGTATGGTAGGAGGGTAGCGTGAGTCTGTCATTTCAAAGGAGCTGTATCTGTAGCATCCATTTATACCAGTAAATGTTTTTACATCCCTGAAGTTTAAAATCGTAAGTAAAATCAAAGCAATGCGTTGAGTAGTGTAACAAATTACTTTTTCAAGTAAATAATTAAATAACCTACTGCATTACTATAAATTAAAGTAATGAGTAATTGTTACAGAGTATAGCATGGTGGAAAAGGATGGAGAGAATCCCCCACTAAGCTTTTGGGTTGGCATTTCTTTAGATTTTGTTTTGTATTAATTGCATGCTTTGGTGTTTTTTGTGTTTGATGCGAGGTGTGGGCCACACCCATGTGGGAGTGGAGATTCTACTCTAGTCCAGCTGCCAGCTATTTGGAGTTGAATACAGGGAGCAGCTGATTGGGGAGGATTGGAGCCCTTCTCTATAAAGGGGAGAGGAAACAGGAAGTGGGGGTTGTCCCTGTTTTTTTTTTGTAGGACACTGGTGAAGCAGGGAAGCTTCGAAGATCCAGGATGAAGTGTGCACATTTTAATGGAAAAGATTTTTAACCTGGCCTGGTTTTGCTTTTAAAATAAACTGAGGATGTTGGAGGGAGGACTCATTCTTATTGGGATGTGAGTGGATGTGCTGGAAGGCAGGAAAACAAACACTGGACTGGAGACTCTCTGTGCCCCTGACAAGGAAACTGGACCAGTTTTGGGGAAGTTCCAGCTCCCAGGATGTGATGTGGAGACCCAGCCTCGAACGAAGTCAGGCCTGAAAAGGTGGGTGGCAAGCCTTTTTGAGGAAGCTGCAGGATTGATACGTTTTGGCTGCTTGTTCTTCCAAGTGACCACCTTTCCCCTGTTTGTAACCAGGCTAACAACCCTGACCGCGGTGGCTTTGGGCCTTGGATTCCTGGCCAGAGTTGTGTCTTCAGCCAGTAGTTTTACCCGGAGAAAGAACAAATAAATCTTGTGTAACCCATTACAGTGTGCGTGTGGTGGTTCGTTACTGGTCAATATTAGAGCTACTACTTTCTTGTACGGAGGCCATTTTGGGCCTTACGTAACATAATGTCTAATACATTGCTTTTTGAGTGTATCATGTGTGTATGGATCAGGAAATGACATAACAAGTACAGGCACAAGCAGAGGGTGAAATGTTAGAACAGCAATATTTCTACTTGACAAATGTCTATAAACTAAAGCATCCTGGGCGACACCCAGGGGAGGAGCACCAGAGAGGAGGAAGAAATCTGGCTCTTAATCCACTGCCCAGATGCCATTGTTTACTGATGTCTACCGAAGGGCAGACATTCCTTTTCAAGAGTTCCTGTCAAAAACGCCACCAAACGGCTAAAAGTTCAGCTTTGGAACAGAGCATGTCTGTGTCGGTAAACATGACGACATTTAAATCCACCAAGTGGGTCCAATATGAGAATTTGTTAGTACGAGGATAATCTCAGCTCATTATGGACCCAGTCAAAACAATACACCTGTGCTAATTTATCTATGACCAGCCGAATGTGTAAATATGATAACCACTGTAGATAAGGTGCAGATGAGGTGACAGGTTAATGTGAAATACCCATCCATCCATCCATCCATCCATCCATCCATCCATGCATGCATCATGCATGCATCGATCCATCCATCCATGCATCGATCCGTGCATGCATGCATGGATCCGTGCATGCATGCATGCATCCATCCATCCATCCATGCATCCATCCATCCGTGCATCCATCCATCCATCCATCCATTTTGCACCACTTATCTGGTTTCAGGTCACAGGGGAAGCAGTCTGAGAAGAGAAGCCCAGACTTTCCTTACCCTGGCTACCTCGTCCAGCTCATGCAACCAGAAGATCCCCAGACTCTGCTTCCATTGCAAAGGGTATGGCAGTGGGATTGCGGAGATCTTTAAAGTGTTCCTTTTACAGCCTGCTTATATCCTCTGAAGTCAGCAGCATCCCACTGCCGCTGCACACAATGTGAGTAAAGCACTGCTTTCCCCTCCTGAGTCGACTGATGGTTTGCCAGAATCACTTTTAGGCCAACTGAAAGTCTTATTGAGCTACTGTCAATCAGCCACTGTCAGAGCTGCACTCCATTTGGCTTGCTGGGACCTGTCCATCTTAAATGTTTCCATTCAATTTTATTTATACAGCGTGACAACAACAGGTGATTCATACTGTAAGGGACTGATCACTAGGGCTGGGTTTCGTCACTGATTTCTAGAACTGATTCAATTCGGATTCACAAGGTCCCGATTTGGTTCAATTTTGACTCAGACACTCAGAAATATTATAATTATGATCATTTATCACTACATATCCATATCTATGTATAAAAACAAAGCTGACACTTGTGAGACTTCATCGAAGGTGTAAGCACCACAGCAGATGCCTTTGTGTCAAAGTAACTGAAGATAAGAGACAGAAAAATATGAAGATGTTGTTCCTGGCCTGGCTTTATAAAGTCAGTTCTGCAGTAGATCAAAAACTGAAGAAAACATGAATCAACATAAGAACATGATTACCTGATGCTGCTGAAGTAAAGCAGAGCAAAGTTACAGAGGTTTCATTAGAGATACGGCTAAGAGTTTTGCAATTTGGCATCATTTGTAAAAGTTTCAACATCTTTGGTACTGAACAGCAGAAATGAGGCTTTATTGTCAGAGGTCATTTTTGAAGAAAAACAAACAAACACAAATAGACAGCGGGCGACAGCACTGTACACAACAGTAGACTGGTGCATAATAAGCAAGCGAATTATGCAGAAACAGATTTTTGATGGTTAACTGATCTTGAAGTACAACTGGGAGAGAGAAAAAGCTGTGCAGGAAGGGTGATTTTTATCATGGTGGAAGCAAAACAACCAAGTAAGCGGGAATTCATATACTATAAGAAGATAAGCCACTACATTAAGTAAAACCATCCTGCTTCTGAGTGTTCTGCCTCATTACGTTACTCAGCTTCTAATAAAATGAGCCAATGAGCCTTTGTGTCATAGACCATGTTTTCATGAACACCTGTTAAATTAGAAGCTGTGTAAAAGGATGAAGGCATGCAAGAGTCTAGCTCCAGATAACCAAGCTGCAGTAGTGTGACTGGCCACAAGGGGGCACAAAGGTAAACCCTGAAGGGTCTGGAAGAACAGCTGGGCAGGCACATAAACACAAAAAGGTCCACGCTTTGGTCCAGTTTGAAAATGAATACAATTGATGGACTAATGACATCGTTGATGGTAAATGGACTGGTTCTTACATAGCACTTTTCTGCTCATCTGAGCACTCAAAGCACTTTACACAACTTGTGCATTCACTCATTTACACCAGCACATCATTCTAAGTGCTTTATAGCTAACATTCACACTCCGATGGATGCATCGGAGAGCAACTTGGGGTTAGTATCTTGCCCAAGTCTACATGCCCAAGGATATTTGGCATGCAGACTAGGGAAAGCCAGGAATCAAACCACCAACCTTCAGAGCTACAGCCACCATCAGGTGGCTGTAGCTCTACCACCTGAGCTACAGCCACCCGATGAGCATTTAAATATTTTCTCAGAACTACATGAAGAATTCACATGTGCAAACACATGTGTTGCCAGAGGATGGAAAGAATGTGGACCACATGTTTTGGTTCAGTCCAAAAGCCATCTCGCATGTGGCAAGGACTCCAGACCATCACAGACTACAGGACCACCAAACCCTCCCCCGCATCCTCTGATGTCTCCTTCCTCAACGAGCTCAACAACTTTTATGCTCGTTTTGAGCGAGGGAACCCCACAACCACAACCAAAGCAGACATGACACCAGACCACCAACCTCTGACTCTCTCCCCCACCGATGTAGGAGCGGTGCTGAGCAGGATCAATGTCCACAAGGCTGCAGGTCCTGATGGCATCCCCGGGCGTGTTCTCAGAGCGTGTTCTGGGGAGCTTGCAGGAGTGCTCACAGACATATTCAGTCTGTCCTTGGCCCACACTGTGGTACCGGCCTGCTTCAAATCCACCTCCATCGTCCCGATACCCAAAAACTCCAACCCATCTTGCCTCAATGACTACCGCCCAGTAGCACTCACCCCCATCATCACTAAGTGCTTAGAGCAGCTGGTCCTAGCACACTTCAAATCCTGTCTCCCCCCCACCCTGGACCCCCACCAATTTGCATACCGCCGGAACAGGAGCACAGAGGATGCAGTCTCCATCGCACTGCACTCTGTCCTCTCACACCTGGACAACAACAACACCTACGCCAGAATGCTGTTTATAGACTTCAGTTCAGCATTCAATACAATCCACCCCTCACAACTCATCAAGAAACTGACAGACCTGGGCATCAGTTCCCTCATCTGCAAATGGTTACTGGACTTCCTGACCAACCGCCCCCAACATGTCCGGCTGGATAACCACTGTTCATCTACCATCACAATGAACACCGGTGTACCACAAGGCTGTGTGATGAGCCCTTTCCTCTACTCCTTCTTCACCCACGACTGCAGACCTGCTGATGGTTCCAACACCATCATTAAGTTTGCAGATGACACCACGGTGATTGGCCTCATCAGTGACAACGATGAGGCCGCCTACAGGGAGGAGGTGGATCATCTGGCTGAGTGGTGCGACAGAAACAACCTGCTGCTTAACACCGAGAAGACCAAGGAGCTCATTGTGGACTACAGGAGGAATGCTGACCCACATCCACCCATCCACATTAAGGGGACGGCTGTGGAGCGTGTGAGCAGCTTCAAGTTCCTGGGAGTCCACATCTCCGAGGATCTCACCTGGACGACCAACTGCTCCAAGCTGGTCAAGAAGGCTCACCAGCGCCTCTTCTTCTTGAGGACTCTGAGGAAGAACCACCTGTCCTCAGACATCCTGGTGAACTTCTATCGTTGCACCATCGAGAGCATCCTGACCAACTGTACAACAGTCTGGTACGGGAACTGCTCCGCCTCGGACCAGAAGGCGTTGCAGAGGGTCGTGAAAACTGCCCAGCGCATCGCCGGAGCACCACTTCCTGCAATGAAAGACATCTACAGGAAGCGGTGTCTGAAAAGGGCTGGGAAAATCATCAAAGACCCCAGTCACCCATCACATGGACTCTTCACCCTCCTGCCCTCTAGGAGGCGCTACAGGAGCCTCCGGACTAAGACCACCAGGTACCGGAACAGCTTCTTCCCCACAGCTGTCAGACTCCTGAACTCTGCCTCCTGACATCTGACCCACGTTAACACATGGACTGAACATACACACACCCACAACCACCTACACACACACACAATGGACAACTGTACCCTCAAACACACAATAATAACATGGACTGAACCACCACTCACAGCCACTAGCACTTTATATAGCCTCTGTAGAAACTATCTACACCCTCACTTATCTTAACTGCACTACTGTATAGCTCTGTGTAAATAATCATTCTGTACATTCGATAATCTTTAATCCTACAACTGTTTATAACTTGCATAGTTCCCATTTCTGTATAGCTGTATATCTCAGATTCTGTAAAGTTATTTATTTCATATTCTGTATAGTTTTTCATATTTATATCCTGTTCATAGCCTGTACATAGCTTGTACTCACTACAGCCTGTACATACTTATAGTTATAGAATATTCACAACATACTTCATACCGTGTACATTATAACATACCATAATAGACCCATTTCTGTAATATACTCACATATCTATACTATTGCTAATATATATTGTAATATATCTATATCACTAAAGCACTTCTGGATGGATGCAAACTGCATTTCGTTGCCCTGTACCTGTGCATGTGCAATGACAATAAAGTTGAATTCTATTCTATTCTATTCTAAAAGAGGAGCAGTTCAGTGGCTTTATAACTGAAGCTGAAAACAGCATCAAGAAGATTTGAGCCCAGATGACAGCGTGTCACTGACAGCTACACCAGCTGAAAAGAAATCAGGTCTCAGTTTTGCAAGAAGCTCAGCTGGTGGCT